TGAAACCTACTGATCTCGATTCGATTTTTTGTTTTCAACTTCAACAACAACTTCCTCGTGCATAATGCAATGAGCAAGATTTATGATATGTTATATGTTACTAATGCACTATACGATAGGGTGAGACGCGATCACAACTCTCCCTATCGTATATTTTGGGACCAATAGGATTATCAGATAAAGCAAACAGAAAAACAAATGAACAAAACGAGATTACAACTAAATAGAAGCAAACGGAACAAGACACTAACCGAGGTTGTGTACATCCAATACGCCCTCTGGCCGCATAACCCGACTCAACCATATACTGCGTTATTTGAGTGGTTTTTCCGGATCCAGTCTCACCGATTACAATCAGAATATTATTCGCAGCAATCGCTTCCATGAGCGCTTTTTTCAGAGCGAAGATCGGAAGTGACTGTCGTTGCTCTTTGATTGACAGGGTTGTTCGTTTGCCGTATGTGGCCTTTCCTCCGGCCGTCACATGTTTCATCCATTCGGGCATTTCCTTAAACAAAATATACTGATGTAATCATGATGAGTGATCACTCTAATGAACTAATTCATTACATGCACTCAATAAAGATTGCATAAACTGACTCAATGTGACAATACTACATTTCAAAGTGATACTATGAAATTGAACATACCACTTCTAGTCGCATTTGACCTTCAATACAATTCTATTCCTTAATTATCGACTACGCTTCAATTGTACACTCTAAACACGTACCCGTTGCCGCTGACTTGGTCCAGGTGCGTCCGCTGAAGAGGTCTGGAATGACATATCTGCCATCGGATCATTGATACGTGCACTTGACGTTAGGCCACCGCCTCGTTGATGGTGCGATTCCTCTTCGCGTTGCGCTTGGATCTTCTGATCACGTCGTTCTTTTGCTAGTGCACCCTGTAACGATTGGTTCAGCATGAATGTGGCTATAGGTTCAATATGTCAATTTATGATAACATTAATAAACTTGTAATGAAATAAAAGAAGGGTAGAGGAAGGCTTGCAATGAGGCGTTAAGATTCTATCTTATGTGATCAACAAGTGTTCCAATACGTGATTGATCAATAACAAAAAGTGATCAGCGGTATGCGATAATCTCAAATACGACTTCAGTAGTAATAAACTCTCATAGTTTAATAAACTGAACGACAAGAGGTTCATAAATAACAGTTGAATCAGAAATATTAAGCAATTAAAAACCGAGACTCAACACTACCTGCATAAGTGCTGCTTGCGCAAGACTTCCATCTGGATTTTTCACAACTTTAACTGGTTCCAAGTCAACAGTATGTTTTCCGTAACCTTTCAAAAATTCAGGATCGTCTTCAACCAGTTCAATTTCGATATCTTCACCGTCACTCTCGTCTAAAAAATCAAATGAATCGTGAAATAACAACAAAAAAATCTCGATTAAGAAAGTTCAACACAGAAAAAAGTGTATCCGGGAGTATACTGTGCGATTTGGATTATTCAAATCATTGTTAACCGTTGACGGATAACATTCCGATCAATTAAACCCCGCATCACTATCGATGCACAGTTGAAATCTCGCGTAACAAAATTCAAAACGAAATTCCAACAAAACAGAACTTAAAATGAACCATCAAATTCATACCATCGAAATTCTTCAGCACTCCCAATTCTTCGTCAAAATCAGGCAAGTCCATATTCGTGATCGCACCTCCACCTTGCATTTGTCTCAGCTCCCACCGTTCTGGTGTGGTCAGTCTTACACGACTCTTTGTACTAAACATGCAGAATATTATTCCATAATCGAACACGATTACATCTAATGATCCTATTGGGTATTACCATCTCGTAATTAAAACAAACAAAACTTATGACTTGAAAAACAGGTTTCTTATGTGGCCAATACAATATGAACTGCAGATGAATATTCACGTATTATTTACTTATATTATTTCCTTTGAGATACCAATGAACTTATTTTTTNGTCATTTGATCCACCTCTTTCATTGACAGACTTATTTTACCGTTCTCATATTTCAGCACCTGTAAATTGAATGATTAAAATAGAAGTGCTTTTCTTCATTTGTTTCACTGAAACAGAACTGAAAGTAATGAATAAATTAGATTCATTCAAACGATAAATCGATCCAGGTAAGAGTTTTTGCTACCTTCACTTTAATCTTCTGTCCTCTGCTCAATACATCCGCAACTGCATTCACACGTTCGTTCTTGATTTGTGAAATGTGCAGAAGACCTTCGAAACGCTGACGAAATCCTTCCAACTAAAATAAATCTCACTTAAGATTCAACCACACGAAAATTTGTAATCACAGCTTCATTTATAGTATTTTCATGATTGGAAACCAGAATCGGTAAGAACTTATCAAATTTCTGAAGAAGAACGGATCAATCGAAGAAAGGTTGGCCTTTTCGAGGAAATGATGAATACATTTCGAACAGATTACCGAGTTTTTTTTTAAGAGACAGTGAGGAATCATTGAAGCAGATACAGTGAAAATTGTAACAAACCTAGTAAACTCATAACTATAAATAACTTCTTCATCACGATCAAATTAATAAAATGAATCAAATAAACACCTGAACGAAAGCACCAAAACTTTGGATGCTGTTCACACGTCCGTTGTATATCTTATCAACTGATGGTTCATCTTCCATTTTTTCGTTTACTTTCGAACGATTTCCCGAGTATCGTTCTGCGCTTCGATCTCGCTTGCCACGACGATCGGCTCCACTCCGATATGGAGGTGAACGCGACCGTCGTTCATTGGAGCTATAAATTTTTGACGTGAATTCTCGAAAGAACCCAACGACTTTCGGAATTTCAAAAAGCATTCTCGAAATCAATAATTTAGACTGTCTTTTCGACACAAATATCTTTTCCAACAACTAAATTTATACGCATCACAGTTCAAAATCGACAAATTCACAAAGAGTCGTCTAGAAAGAAGATTTCAAGGAGGTAGAGTGCTCCAAAAATTTTACCCTGATCTAGATCTACGCCTTCGTTTTCGGTCCCGTTCTCTGCTCGAATCACGTGTGCTTCGTCTATCCCTATCCCTATCCCGACTTGAACTTCTCGCATGTCTTCTTCGATCCTTTCCATTCGCTTGATCGTTTCGATTCCGTTTCGAGGAATTCCGTTCAGTGCTACGACTTCTCGATTTAGATCGGTCACGTCTTGACCTGCTCTTCTCAGTCTTTTGCTGATGTTCAGTCTTGATCGCTTGCTCCTGAATAACGAGAAAGCTTCAAAAGCATTCTTAGAAACAATCATAATATCAGATACCTGATCGCCGTTTACCAGTACACTTTTATAAGACATCTTAAGATGTTACGCGAATCCGGTCTGCTACGATGCGAACATCTCATTTGATCACTGTGTCACTTCAAACGAATGCAAATGATTTTCCAAATACCTTTTCTCGTTTCCATTTCGGTTGAAGACCTTCCAACTGTTCCATCAATGAGTCCGTATTCATCGTGTTTGGCATCGCAAGTGCCGGTAGTTGAGCTTTTAGTAAATCTTTATCGTCCGCCATCGTTTTCACGAAATTCACCGAGGAATCTTTCGGTTTCGGTAGCATATGATTGATCAGTCGTAGCAAGTTGGCCAACAATGAATCGTCAAACTGTAATCAGTAAGCATAAGGGTCGAAATAGCGTGGTCTATCAATGAAATTAGAGGACGACTCCAGTTTCATCAACAGTTAAGTACTCCAAAAGGAAGTTCATCGCTGTTTTTGGTTTACGAAATATATGGTATTATAGGCCGAGTTTCAAGTCGTGAAAAGAATTTGGTGTGTTCAGGAAAACATAAAGCTGTAATTAAAATGAAGGTCACATCGATATAGAGTGGACAGGGGTAGATCGTTACTTTTACGAAAAAAGTGGATTACGAAATATAGATGTTATACAGGAATATTGACTGAGATTTTCCAAATAACCGAGAAAAAATTGACTTTCAGAAAAGATAGGGAATGAGATACCTGATCACCGAGACCTTCACGAGTGATTGCCTTCTTAAATTTGTCAAAAGTTGGATTTTCTTCGGCCAAATGGATAATAAATTCCGCAACATCTTTATCACCCATATTAAAATGATTCTCCAGCTCGACGCATACTTTCGAAACCAACGAAAGACGCTCCAATTCATCCATTTTGTTGAATTCTGAAATTCACTGCATCCGATTGGAATAGAAATCATCAAAATTCTGCATGTAAAGTCAATAGATCATGAAAATCCCGAGCAAAAACATAAACATATATTGAAGAGGAAACAGTAAAATTGATTGAAATTGGTCATATTGCAACAGAAACAGTAATTTGATTCGATAACAGTAACATGAAATAAAATCGAGTCACTACGGATCTATTATATGCAAATCTTTATCCCCATCCATTGATTTTGAATAAAGACTTCTCATCAATTCACTGGAGTTATCAAAATTTT